TAAATTTAAAATCCTATATTTTTCTTCATCATTTGATGTATTTGCACTCATTGCGTCTACTTTTTAGGGGTTGAACGACTACATAATTTTTAAACTCGACATTAACATAATAAAACTCGAGTAGAACTCGAGTAGTTGATGACGTCATAGGATCTCAAGATGCAAAAATAAATAAATAAATAAAATTGCCAAAAAACATAATTATTTACAAAAAAAGATCAACAAAACATCGGGAGCATATATTATGCTCTTACCATTTATCATACTGCAAATAAGTCACAGGAAAACCAAAACTATTATTTTTTATTATTATTATTATTAAGCTGCAAAAGTGAAAGAAACGTGCGGCACATAAAAAACAAAACTAAAAACAGTGGGGCGGATGACCACCCCGCACCCGCAGTGGTGCGCATTAGGTTTAGTTTTACAGATTAATATGTTTATAGGTTTTTTATAGGTCTACAGATTCATATTTTTTTTATTTTTGTTTGTGAAACAAGGTCAGAGCAAGCTAGTTCTGGTTCGGTTATTGGACCCGGTGTTACACCATATTCTGTGACCTGCAACAGCGCATGCAACATCACCCCCTACAGTCAGAATATACGGTGGTCACAGAATATGTGACCATCCATCTGCTTGGAAGAATCCATTTTGTAACCCGCGCCCGGTGCGGATCACGTGACGCAATGACGTAACGGTGACGTAATGACGTCACTACAAATACTCAACGTGAAATTTAAAAACTCGAGAGATGTCCTAGGAATCCATGTGTCGATTACTCGAGTAGTCTGCTACAGCCCTACTAATTTTATTCTTCAGTTTAGATACTATATGTGGGATCTTGTTTCTTGTATACAGATTTTATTTTAGTGATTTAAAATGTAATTCTTGTTGTGATTTGTACATCTGTGGGTTAGAATAAAGTTGGAAATAAAGGCTGTATCCCTTCTTTAAACATGTTTGAGGGAAATATTCCTGAGAGATCCAATAATTTTGTGCCTTTTATGATTTTTCAGCCGAGTTAACATTAATTAACAGATTATTCAATAAAGTCAAAGTGAAAACAGGATTTCATGATAAAGCAGGCACCATTTATTTATTTTTATTCTTCACTGATAAAAAAATAAATAAAATATAAATATATATATATATAATATATATATAAATATATATATTATATATATATATAATATATATATAAATATATATATATATAAATATATATATATATTTTATACAGAAAATTATTATTATATATTTTTTTATGTTTCCACCCTCCGTCCCGGACTCCTGGTCCTCCCACCTGTCAGGGCTCGGAATCTGGCCTTTGTGAGCAGGCAAGGCCGGGGCTCGGGGTCCGGCCTCACATGCTTCAACGGGTCGGCAGCTCGTATGATCCTCCTCGGTGACTCCACTCGCTTTAATTTTGTCGTCGGTCACCAAACACAAAGAACTCCTGGACTTCAGCATTAAACAAAGTGTTGTCATTATTGTTTTTAAAATATTAAAAATGGATCCAACCGCCGCTCCGCGTTCCGAGAAATTGCAAATGGCGGATTGGTGAAAAGTTTCTGAGATCCAGTGACTCCTCCCCCTGACCAATCAGAGTCCTGCATTCACCGACTCAGCTCCAACAGTCCCAGCAGAGAAGCAGGGACAAAAAAAGTCCCGAATCAGCTAAAAATCTGCTAAAAGTACTGGTGCAAAACGGATCTTTCCGTGGTGGGCTGAGCAGAGCTGGGGCTTAGTAGGAGCGGTGCAAAAGGGGCATAAGATTGGTATCATTTTGGCCAGCAGGTTTAAGATGTTGATGCAGACTTTCTGCAAATAGTTGGTAATCCTTTTTTATATGTTTAAGAGCAAAACGGATGAAAACAGTCTTATCAAAAGGAGCAATATTAAGCAAAATACAAACCTTTGGCTATAATATTTTTATTTTCAATTCATGGTACAAAGCACCTAAAAATTGTTATTGATTTCTACCGCAAAGGAGACGTTTGGATAATGATTCATAAAACTTGACTAAATATTGCAGTTGATAAAATCATCAAGAGGGAAATTTGACATTTTTTAATGAATATAACGTGGTATCATCTACATACGAGTTGATCAACTTTATCAAACCTTCTATGAATCTGTTGCAGTGACAGACACCTGGACAATTTTTCAGAACTTCCATCAGTCTTTTGGGCCGTCCATGGTCCAAAAAGGCTGATCGACCCCTTTTCAAAAAGACACTTACTCAATTTACGCATTATAGCTGAGAGCAGATTAAAATGATATTTCAAAACACAAGAAAACAACAAACATAGACCCAACAACAACAACAAAAAGTAAATAAAATAAAAATAAGCTTCGTTTGTAAGGCTTTTAATGTTTTGGATCTACAACAATTTAAAACTCTTTCTCCATCAAAATTAGTAAACTTTTTTCTCCAAAATATTGTTCACATTGAGTTAAATTCACATTTTTATGGCCCACGAGTCCTTTCATCTTGATATTAAGATGAAGGAAATTACGGAAAGGACATTACCGAGGAAATGCTCGTGCCTTTGTTAGTTGAATCATTTTGACATCTGGATTTTGACCCACATCTGAAAACATTTGGACGCCCCTCTTTTAACGTGTTAAAAGCCTGTGCTACCCCTAAACACCAGCAGAGGGCAGCAGTGCACCATATCTTCTACAGAGCAGAGCTCTGTCCTGATTAGTGTTTTTGGTTCTGTGATTACAAACCATTCAGCTGAGCTCATTTCAGTTATTTAAATAACATATAGACCTATGTGTTTAATTACACTTCTTGCAACAGTTCTCATAGTCAGCAATAAGGAAGAAGCACAATAAAAAACAAAAAATTATGGGGGGATTCAAGTGCTTTAAAAACAATAACTTATCTCTTAAACTCTCACACAACACCCACCAAGCCTATTATTAATAGAGTTAATAAGACATCCCAACAACTCTGCCAAGATGAATCAAACTACTTAAACTAAGCTATAAAGACATTCGTCAGAGGATGAAAAAGGAGAGTGAAGTTTACTCTAAAGTAGCTGCTGAGCTGCACAGATTTGTCCGTTTAATCTTGGCTTTAGTGAGACAAAGAAAAATTATTTGTTTTTTTGAGAGGATTTATCTAAACGTCTGAAGTGACTTTTCATTTTAGTCTATCTGAGTTTGGGTCACAGAGGCTCTTCTGGGGGATTCTGAGACGTCCCCATATATGTCCCACAATGAACATATAATCCTTCCAGCTGGGAGGGATGAGGAACTTCAACGTCATATACACCTGTTCCTTTAGAAAGCAGTTCAGATTTGAAGATGGTAATGCCACACACACACACACACGAAAATAAATATCACCAGACTCAACTTTTGTTTCTATACCCACAGCTTGAAGCTACTTTCTGAGCTTTGCACCTAAAGATGCACACACCACACTGAAGAGGCAGTGTTTGACGTTAAGCCCACACCAGTCCAGCTGCTCAGAGTGAAACCATTCCAGTTCTGCCAACAGAACTCTTGAACTTTACTCTTGCAGTGCTTTGAAGTAAGGATGTCCCGAACATTTTATCAGAGACCTCAGGAAACCGTGAATACAATGGCAAAATGCGTTTCCTTCACAGCTAAATTCTGGTTTCAGTTTCAGCTCGACAGAAATCATAAAACACAAAATAATGTACGTTACCAAGAAGAAATTCTAACATGGGAACGTGGTTTCCAATGTCCATGATGATGTTGCTGCTTTGCCCTTGTTGTGTTTACCTGAAGATACAGCACTTTGTAACAGAACAATACACTTAAAGTTAAAAACCCTGACATCCTAACTTTTAACACTCATCAGCTACAAAAGAAGAAAGATACTTTTATTTCCGTCCAAGTTTTTGTTTGCTTGTAGATTTAAATATTTCATACATGAATTTTAATAAAACTTAAGAGTAATCCTTGTGTGTTAACCGGATTAACTTCTGGAGATCAAGATGGCCACCACAGCCAAGTTCCCTTAGAAATCACAAAAATGGCTCAACAGCATACTGAGCTAAAATGTGATGTGGTTGAGATTATTCTCAACTCATACACAACTCCATTCTCATGTCCTTCATTTGAAACTCTGACAAGACAGACCATGTAACGTGACATGTTGGGCTTTTAATATAGTTTGCTTTGACCTTCAAAAAAGTTGCCCCGTTCTCTTTTCACGCAAAGATTTGAACTACAAATACACAAAAAACACAAAAACACTTGAAAGTGGGATCATGTTTTATAAAACTTTCTGACAATCATTCAAGGCGTGAGCAAAAACCGATCAACGAGGTTTAGATACAACAGTTTTAGTACTTGAACACAAAATATGTACATGTATACACGTTTTCAACACAATGATGTATTATACCAAGTTATCATTTAGGCAACAATTCATCTATTCAAACCTTCAACTATATATATATATATAAAAAAATCTAACAACAGCAAAATGATAAAAAAAAAAAAAATAGGACTTTTGAGCAAAACAGATACAAAAAAAAGTTCTTCCTTCAAACTTGGTAGAACTAAATGAAGTGTTTGATCGTTTAACTTCCTGACACACTTGTCCCCCACCTCTCGCAGTGACTGCTGGATATGGGCTCCAGTGATCCCCGCTACAAAAAAGGATGACGCGGATAAATGGATGGACTTCCTGACATACTCATCTTGGATTTGCCAAATTAAATATTCCAAACAAATACTTTCCACTGAACTCCACCCATCGTGCATTTAATGTGTCAGAAAACATGAAGATAACAAATAAGGCACCGTTTAGCTCTGAAGGAGGCTCCGCCTCTCAGTGAAATGTTTCAGTCGGTGTTCGTTTGTTGTGACACGCGTTTGTTCACTAGCTCCGTTCTTCATCACTCCGGAGTGTCTTTATGGCTTTTTTCACCACATGAACAAGAAGCTCCACTTGTGGCTTCTCGCAACATTTTCACTTCACATATCCTCTATCCAGCAGCTGAAGGGGTTCACTATTTGCCGTACTGCGCCCCTTTGCCGAGTTTTAGCCAGTCCTTCCAGGGGGACTGGACTTTGTCCTGATTAGTGTCTGAACTGCAGGACGAAGAGGAGGACTGGCGCATCCAGGTGGAGAGTGGACTGCTGGGCTTGCGGAAGAAGGACAAGCCATTGGAGGAGGGCTTCTTCTGAGGCTGCTCCGACTGCTGCTGGGACTTCAGCTGCTGGTTGATGACGATCTGGATGTCGTCCTGGAGAGGAGACGAGAACAGAGTGAGCGGGAAGGCTGACGAGTTTGGTGCTTTTGCATCTCAAATGCAAGGAGGCCAGATGAAGAGTCAAACAGTTCATTCAAGCTTTAGGTTAGTCTCATGGAGTCACAAGGACTCGTTTACAAGAGAGATCTGATTGAAACAAAAACCACAGGTGAGGTACACACAACAAAAGCATGTCAAATGAAAAGTAAATAAAAGAAGTTCTTCCATTCTTCCTTGCACCTCCTTATCTTTCTGAGATAGTGGAACCACATGGTCCCTCTCGGGCTCTGAGATCATCCGATCAGCTGCTTTCGGCTGTTCCAAAAACAAAACTGAAGCTCAGAGGCGATCGGGCTTTTTCAGTCATGGTCCCCAAGCTCTGGAACAATCTGCCCCCCAACATTACGCAGGCCACTTCTCTTCCTGTTTTTAAATCTCTGGTTTCTGTGGCATTTCACACAGTGGGACTTGATTTAGTTTTTTTTTTTTGTTCTGTGTTTTTACGTTTATTTCTTAAAGCTTTGAATTAATTTGTCAGTAATATTATATTTTCTCCATTAATTTACTCTCATTGATGTTATTGTTAAACACTTCGGTAACAGCTGTTGTTTTAATGTGCTTTATAAATAAAGGTTTTATTACCCATTTGCTCATGGAGAAAAAAAACAGAACCATTTTACCCACAGGAATCATCTGATGAGCAGCGTTATGGAAACATGTTATAAAGTGTTAAGACTGTTTTCCTTTAAAACACCAATGAGTTCAAACATTGGACATACCGACAATCTTTCTTTATTAAAAGGATAAAAATATAACCTGACAACTATTTACACCGTAATGTAAAAAAATAAAATAAAACCTAATGTAAACTATTTAGTAAAGTGGGGGGGGGGGGGATGCCACTGAACACTATGATCGGTCCATTTTTAAACTGTAATAAACTTAAAGTCAAATAAGAACTTGTGCAACTTGAAGGAATATATCTTAAACAAAAATCACTTGCAGTCTATGAGCACTCAAGATGTGTACTTGGGATTACTCTCAGCAACTACCACACTAAAGTTTTGCTCAATATCAGTCAAATATGCAAAGTTAAAGTCTTTTTCTTTTCTATATCTGGGGTTTGCAACCTTTTTAATTAAAAAAAAAGAGCAATTTCCGCCACTTTACTCGCTAAATAAAATGTGTCTGGAGCCACAAAACCTGTCACAGCTGTGAGTATCAACTGGTGGCCCATGGGCCACTAAGTTTGTTGGAAGGTTTGTTTTTTCCCAGCCAAAAATAAATGATCAATTTTAACATTTAATGATAGTTTTACATTTTATGACAGAATAAAATACCATAATCATGTAAAGAAGGGGAAAAAATACATTTTTTATTCTAATTTTGGTAGGAATTAAAACACTGAATTCTGCAGGCCTTTGTGAGTCCTTTTAATTGTGGAAAAATCATTTAGTATCCCATTTTCAAGTAAAACGGCATACATTTAAAGTGTGTGAAGTGGTTAAATTTCATGTTAGTTTGGGTCAAAGTGTCAAGAAGCCGCAGCCGTGGGACCAAAGATTTGCAGGTTGCAGAATCCTGACCTACGCTAATGTCAGCTAGATGTGGCAACAATCTAGAATTAGACTGACTCGAAAAGTTGATCAGTTGTAGATGCACATCCAATGAAACTATCTTCAAGTCTCAATAACATGCATCTACTGGTTTATGAAATATTTTGCTAACAGATCAACACATACACAGGCAATGACATCATCACCTGCCTTTCAAGGCAGCAGACAATAACGAGCAATAAAGGTTTACATTGATTCAAGCTTTATGTTCTAGTTTTCCCCCCATAATCTGAGAAACAAGATTAAGGGGACTTTTAGGTTTCCAAACTTTTCTCAGGTTTTATTAAGTCTCTTCAAAGTGAGTTTTATTACACTTTAAACATATTTTTTCTCAATGTCATTAGTGAAACTAATCTGTAATGTGCAGACAAAAGATGTCAGAGTTCATTCAAACATGCTTTATATTATAGAACTAAACTGAATAATTTACCATTAATAACATCTGTTATTATATGTGGTCTTGTGTTTAATGTTTTATTTCCCTCGGGGAGGACGCTGAATCTGCAGAAAACAAATCAGTGTTTTCGTTTGAAGCTCGTCTTCATCGGGCTGACAGATGGCTCGGCTTGGTGTAGCGACTCGGCAGCAGAGGACACCTGCTGCTCGTGTCCAAAACCGTGAGGACTGCATCTGTCCCTCATGTCCCCGTGAGGAAAACGGAACGGCTCTGCTCCTTTCATATCAGAGCAACAACTGCTAACGCCATGCTGGAAAATCTGTGTTTTTAGCCTCCAAAGGTGATTGGTTTGTAGCAAAATAATTTATGAAACACTGGACGTATTTTAATGAAATTCTCAGAGAGCTGGATGTATGATTCACTTTCGGAGTCGACCCCATTCAAGATGATCGCCACAGCTAAGTGACGTTAGCAACTACAAAAATGGCTATAACGCTGAAGCTAAAATTTGACGCGGTAGTAGCAGAGAGTCATCCACAACATGTGCTCAAATAACCCAGGAGGCCTCCTCAGTTTTAAAACGGATGAAAGGTGGCGGGCGATGTGCATTCACTCACTGGGTTGAAAACAGCAACAGTGCAGATGTTTAAGATGGAGATTTTAAAACTTCATAGAGCAGAAAACGTTCAGGCAGAATTTAGGAGCGGAAGAAACGGTGAACTCACCTGCCAGGCCTCCAGCTCCTGTGACAGCTCCAGCTTACGATGGATGGCATCTAATAGCTGGTTGTTCAGACACATCATGTCCTGTTTGCTTCTCAACAACTCGGCCTCCATCAGGTTTTTCCTAAGACATAATGATTTTTTCCGTTGGGTTCAAGCTTGCACAGCTCAACGTCCGCCATCTTTCAGGGTATATTTTTCATTACATTTGAACATTTCTACACGACGAGTTAGTTACTTGGCAATAGCTTCGTCCCGGTCTTTAACGGCCTGTTGAACAAGGTTCGCCTGGTCTTGGATGTTCTGCAGCTTCTGCAATAACTCGTCGTTCTGCTGCTGCAGCTGAAGGTTCTGCAAGGAAAAAATACCATTAAAAAAAATTAATAAAAACATGCTTTTTGTTAAAGCAAAAGCAAATTATGGCTCTAAAGTTATAGAGCAAAACAACTTTGAGGTTTTCTTGATCTCAAGAAGACATGAATGTAAATAAGAATAAAAAATGTTAAAAGGAGCTTTTAACAAATTTGAACAAACAAATGTGTTCTTATGCTAATATACTGATGCAGTAGCTTCTCTAGTTAACTCCAGTTACATACAGTTGATAGATTATTTTAGTTTCGAGGTTAAAAGCAACTTTTGTTTCCTTTTCAATAAAACTCCCGTTCCTGGAGCTAACGCTACAATGAACTGCAGATGACTGGTTTTGTCACAGGTGCTGTCCCGGTTTGACAGACGCGTTTGTTCATCAGCAGGTTACCTGATCTCTCAGCTCCTGGGCTGCGCTCACATTCCCACAGTGATCAGACGTCCTGTCGACAAAACCCGGATTCGCCTCCTGGGACGGGGACATTAGCAGAGATCAGGTGTCGGCCACACATGTAGCAGAAAAAAAGGTTTCTGTGTTGTTGGCCTTCATGCACAGTGATCTAAAGGGTTCAATGGGGCGGGGTTGAGTATTTAGTTACACCGATGAACGGATGTTTCAGCTCTGAAAGGCACAACTGGACGATTGTATGTTCACGTGAACTGCAAGAAGAACCAGGTGCTTAGAGGAAGAAACTGGAGTTTGTGTCGCTGTAAGGCTCATTTCTAACAGAGTGAATCAGAACAGAATGTATCGTTTTGGTAGGTTTCTTAGGAATCCAACTACTGCCACATACCTTATGTATTTTAGTGTCACTTGTATCAAATTGTTCAACTCATTCAAGAGATGGGCACTATGACTTGTGGTTTTTGTAACTTTTATACTTTTTAAAGATAGTTTCTTTCGGCTGCTCCCTCCTGCGGGGGCACAGCGAGCGAACTCGTATGAAAGATTTGACAATTATTTTACACCAGATGCCCTTCCTGATGCAGCCTGGGCTCAAACCCGCAACCTCAGGATTACAAAACCGTGGCACTGACCACCAAGCTACTGCAGCCCCCAAATAAATATTTTACATATAAAAATACAATGAAGTCTTTCAGAATTACTTCAAAATGATGCTTATTGGACAGCAGCTGCAGAAACTGGCTTGATTTTTGGCTTATTGTGCTAATTTAAGCTAACCTTTTGCCACTTTTTGCTACTGCTCAGCTAGGTTAAGCTTTTAGATAGCATTTTGCTCTTTTTAGCTTTCAGCTACAGTTCTGCTACTTTAAGGTCGTGTTTTGCTAATTTTATCTTCGGCTACTTTTAGCAAGCGTTTTGCTGTTTTGAACTAGCTTTTGTGCAACTTTAGCTAGCCTTTTTAGCTTTAGTGAAGAGTTAAGTTAATTCAGCTACTTTAAGTTAGAGTTACCCTACTTTATCCACCAAAGTTCAGTCAGGTCATCTGGATGGTTTATTATTTTTGTTGAGACGTTTCGTCCTTCATCCAAAGGACTTCATCAGTCCGAGGAGCCAAATTCAGTCCCACAAACAGCACATTCACATATAGTGGGCCAACTAGTTTGCTGGTGATAAGATGGTTTCTGTGGCCCACCCTCTCCCCAGTTGACTATGGCTTCCTCAGTGAAGTTGACGGGGGAGAGGGCGGGCCCCAGAAACCATCTTATCACCAGAAGACTAGTTGGCCCATTATGCGAGTGTGCTGCGTGTGGGACAGAAATTATTGTGCCTCCTCAGACTGATGAAGTCCTTTGGATGAAGAATGAAACGTATCAACAAAAAAAAAAAAAAAAAACTGTCCAGATGATATGACTGAACTTTGTTGGATTTGTTTATCTAGATTATTGAGCATGAACCTTGATGACCTTACTTTTATCTTTAGCTAGTTTGTTTGTTTTGGCTCTAACAACTCAGTTTTAGAGTCTTCAGCAAAATTCAGCAAAGGTATTCAGCGCTGTATTCATGCTATGTTTTTACCGAAAATATGGTTTCTTTAGTTTTATAATTTGTTATTTTTTCATGTCTAAGTTTGACTTCAAACAGAACAAATCAAAACCTGGTAATTATTCTGGTTTGACTTAGTGTCATGAAGTAATCATATCCAATTCATTTAACAAAGCTGAGAATAGAAAGATGCGCACGCCTGTGTTTTGTTAAAGCTCTCAAACCTCAGCTCACGACTTACTGACTTCAGAGCCTCCATCCATGTAAAGAAGAAACTTTTCATTTCCCGTCTTTCTTGTTTAAAAACACAGTGCAGCCGTTTTGTTTCAGCTTCTCGTGATTCTCACCTTGAGGTCAGATGCCTGGGCCAGATTTTGAGCCGCTCCCTTCAGTTGGTGCAGCATGGCCTGCAGGTCCTCTGGGTCATCTTTGACCTCCGACCTCTCTGATCCCTTCTGGACCCGGGTCAAAGGGAGGAGTAACTGGAGGATGGATCCCATTTCTTGTGTCATCTGCGTAAAGAAGACGAGTCAAATCAACGTTCAAATTTGTTTCGCTAGAAAACTAGATCACCCGGATTGTTTGCTGTAACTTAATCTACATTTATCGCCCAAAGAAGTAAAAGGCAAACAAGGACAGTGATGTTTTTGGTCATGTGTATGTGCATGTTCGTTTGTAGTGCTAGCAAATGTTCTAATGAATCATTGGACAGATGTGAAAGAAACCAGAACATAATCACCAGATGTACATGTACAACCGATTATCATCTGGAGTCAACCCAGTTCAAGATGGCTGCCACAGCTAAAAAGGCTAGAACTCAGACAGTTTTATAGATTTTGACCTAAATTTGACATAGTGGTAGCTGGGAGTTGTTCACAATGCGTACTCAGAGCACGAACAGAGAACGATTAGTGTTTCTAGCCTTGTCTCTTAATTATTTAGATTATAATGTTTAGATTAGATTAGATGTCATTTTGCATTTATTATAGGTCTGTTTGTATTTATTGTTCTGGTGTGTATCTGCTGCGTTTTGTTTTGCATGTAATGTTCTGTGTTGCACCGTGATCCTGGAGGAACTCCGTTTCGTTTCAATATGTACTTGTACGCAGCTGAAATGACAATAAAACCTCTCTGACTCTGAACTCTCATACTCTTGCACTAGATTGTGAAAAACAGCATTTCCAAAATTTGGTCACAACTACAACTGTCATTCCTCTACATAAGACGATCGTCTGAAACTCTGGGTTGAAAAGGCAAAGGGCGAAATGCATTCCTTCCAGGAAGGCCTTTACAACATAAAGAAATAATCATAATACTTTAAGCTCTTTTCTGCTTCTGTGCTGCTCACTGAGAGCACATCAACGAGTGACGGTAATTTACACAAAGGGACGTGGACAACATCACCTCATGATGACTATTTTTAACTCGCCTCACCAAACTGGTCCCACATGACTTAATTTGTTGAAAGCGATAGAGATTTGAACGAGTGCTTTTCTTTCAGGTCATAGGGCTGCATTTAAAATGAGCCTTTTAAGAAATTTTAATCCACTTCTCCGTGACTTGTACGTGCAGTCGTCATTTTATTGTTATGCGAGCTCAGAAGCTATGGAAGCTCAACAATGTGGCCATGACAAACAGGAAATGTAGGGAAAACCTTATGAATGCGGTTATGTATCCCCCCCCCCTTCCTGTCAGTAACACTGAACTGAGGGCGAGGATTCTCTCTGTTCCCTCTCAGACACCGTTAAGACTTGTGAATTTCAGAGTGTGAGAGAGACGAAAAATCACATTTACAACATTTGCACCTTTTCGCTCACATCAAACCCAGATCTCACTGCCACACAAACTGCTCTGTCATCGTGTTCCTTTCTGCAGACAGACTGTTTCTGCAAGAAAATGCCAGCTTTTCCTCTTTAAATTTAATGTACATCAATGTTTCCCTATAATTGTTCTAGTTTGTTTCAGTAAAAACTGTAGCATTCCCATGTTAGGACCTGTTCACTCCCAAATACAGTCCAAACAAAACCATTTTGGAGTCTCCATCACTTAATATTTTTGGGCTATTTTTTTTTTTGTTTGTTTGTTCATTTGTTTTGGACTGTTCTGATAAACATTTCTTTTTCCTGGGCAATTAAATTCGTTTTTCACAAATATTTTAAGTGCTTTTTTATGAGCGGTTGAAATAATTTGCGCAGACCCTGTAAAATGTGTTTAAAGGGTTTTGTGGTATTTTCTACCATTATAGGTGTGGCAGCTAATTTCTGAATGCCGTAATTTCCAGACTATAAGCCGCTACTTTTTTCACACGTTTTGAACACCGTGGCTTATACAATGCTGCGGCTAATTTATGTTTTTTTTTTTGACAGGCTAACGAACTTTATGCCGTCACAACGTTTAGTCTCGTCACATCCGGGCGCTCACATAGCTGCCCAATACACATCTCTCTTGGGGGTGGGTCCTCGTGACTCAGTGAGACTACCTGTATAAATAAAAGTTTGAAAAAATGACCAATGAAATTACCAAACAGGTCACAGTGGACAGGGGCAGGAGGACCAATGAAACCTGCCTGTTCTCTCCTCCTCTCCCGCTCTTTGCGGGAGTTTCCCTGTGGGAGTTTCCCCCCTTGTTGTGCACAACAAAGTATTTACAGCCACTCGAAGTAAGTGTGAATCGTAAATCAAATCGCGAATTTACCTTGAGACAAAGTTGACGTTGAGAGCGACAATGAAAGAGAGACTGAGGACGTGTGTGATGAAGTTTTTCTGAGGCTGTTCAATTCTGACACTGAAGAAGATGACTTTGGTGGTGTTAGTGCACAGGAGGAAGATGAACATAGCAATCAATGACTTTTTCTGGTAGGCTACTCTATTGTTATTTATTTATTTATTTTTAACCAGCTGTGTTACAGGCACTGTTCAGAAAAAAAAGCATATATATATATAAATATTTTACTTAATGTATTTGTGCATGTTACCAGTACATATTTAATTAAAATTTAAAAAATATTTTTGTGCAAACATCTCAGGTTACAACATGGACATCTGTGGCTTATAGACAAGTGCAGCCTATATATGTAAAAAAAATAATAATAATTTTATTTAAAAAAAAAGTGGGCGTGGCTTATAGTCAGGTGCGCTCAATAGTCCGGAAATTACGGTACATTTAAATGCTCTCTCAATTTTACGTTGAACTCTTTTCAGGTAAACTCAGATGGTGTGTCAGTATTCGTAGCTAAAATACAAATGGTACCAAAATTAATAGCCCACCAAAAAAGGTGAAAGGGTGATCATGTTTTTTTTGCCCTATATGAGTGTGTCTGTCTGTAGCGTTAGCAAAATATCTCACCAACTAGTGGAAAAATTTGTGAACTAGAAAATCATCTAGAATTCAGCCAGTTTTACAGATCCTGAACTAAGTTTGCTGTGGTAGTAGCTGAGCATGATCCCCAACACATATTCAGAGTGCTACACATTGTGCAATATTTTTACTTTAATCTTCCAGGATTTAGGTGATGGCGTCAACCCCGTCAGAGAATTTAAGATGTCCAATAATAATGTTATGAACATTTCAGTAAAATTCATCTTCTGCTTTATTAGATATTTGTCTAACACAACAATGAAACGAGCATGTACAAGACAACGGGCGATAACACACAGATTCATCAAAAAGTGCTCTTTTTGCACAAGTGCTAATATATTTACATGCCATAACTGCACACACTCATTAAGGCTAATAAACTGTTTTGGAAAGCTGAGCTGTGACGGCAGGAAATGGTCGCTAACCTCTGCTCTGCTGACTCCTAAATCTGCCGTCTCCAGCTCAGACAGCAGGGAGGCGTCCAAGTGGCTCCTGGATTCCTGCAGAGAGACCTCCTCCTGCAGCTCCTCCACCTGAGCCTGCAGCTGCTGGGAACGACCTCGCGCCACCTCCGCCTCCCACTGCGTTTCAGCTAGCTGAAACAAACAGGAACATATTTATTCAAAATTAAAGTACAGTTCTGTATACACAGAACCACCAGCATATGTTCTGGTCAGCTGACTCTCTGAAGGCTTTCATCAGCAAATCCTGATGAACCAGATTCCAGCTAACCTGAAACCTAAACACAAGCGGAATCCGGACTTGTGGGCTAATGTTACAAAAGCAGGGATGAGGTGATTGTTTAACAGGTCTTTTCACAATCCCATCGAAACCCAGGCTGCCAGGCAGAAAGCAGAAGATCCCCTTGTTGTTGAAGGGCGTGCAATGCTTTCAGTGTCCTTTGTATGTAAAGTGTGTGGCCGTATGTTTACCTGCTGCCTTTGCTGCTGGTTCTGTTGATCGTGAAGATCTAAGCGCGTCTGTAAAGACACCAAACTCGCCCTGAGCTTGGCATTTTCCTGACACACTGCCTCCAAACGCTGCTCCAGTGTCTGTTCCTTCTGCGTGAGTCGTAACATCTGGAAAACAAACAAACAAACAAACAAACACAGACCTTAGTTATGACCAGAGGTTTTAAGGAGTAAAACTCCCACTGCTCGCTCGCATCACATCTCATCTACCACCAGGAGCCCGAACATCTAAAACAGCTGTAGCTGAGGTTATCACATGAAAAGGACTGAAACAAGATAAACCATCACAGACTTTTCTGAAAGAAAATAAACTGTGAAAAAGCAAAAGATGACGAAGTCTGGGCCGGTGTGGGAACAGAATGTTTTTTACAAGTCGAATCGCTGCAGCCGGATTTGTTAGCAAAACTGTGACGATCAGGATGAGGTTGGACTTGCTTTCATCATTTATAATTACATAATGTTATACGGTATTTATTCACTGTACCTGCTCCCTCATGGCACTGATCAGCTCCTCGTCCTGCTCCCGGTTATGGCTTCCCTTTTGTCTCAGCTCCTGTTTCAGAGCCTGTAGCTCGTTGGACATCACTCTCTCCACCTCCATCGCCTTCAAATGCACATGCGAGAGAAAAATACACACATTTATAAGAAAGCAGAATTTTATGGTATTAAACATTCATGGCAGCTTAGTTGTATATTTTTTAGTAAGACAAAAAAAAATGTTTAGAAAAATAGGTTAGCACAAACAGCAGCTAGCTGTAGCACTTCCAGTGCAGCCTAGGACACATCTGGCAGTGTTGAGGCATTTAGGGCTTACAATGTGCAGTTTACATGAAACTGCTATGAATGGAGGTATTTTAATTCAGCAGCAATTCACTTTGGTCCTGACTTTGCTCAGACTGGTCATTAACGCAGGTTTTATTTTCTTTAGCTTAGCTCGGGCTAACCGTTAGCTCGAGATAACAGAAATGTACAAAAATGCTATGCCGTTAACCCGATGTTCTTCATCGTTATGTTTGCACAGGAGATATTTATATATATTGACAACACAGGTCCTGGCACAATGTCTACAGAACTGAGTTAGGCCCGTTCGCACTTAAATTGGGGTTTGCAATCTGAGGCTCTGGGGCCACATGTGGCTCTTTAGTCCTTGGTCTGTGGCCCCTTGAAGCTTTGACCAAACATAACTCAAAATTTAAAGTTTAATTTAAATTTAAAGACAAGTTGCCTAGAAGAAATATGGTGAATCAACTAAATAAATAAGCTTAATTTAAGTCAAAATAAATACAAAATTTTGTTTTTAAATTAAAAATTTTAAAAGTCATAATTGTATATCCCATGGGCCACCAGTTGATAATTGCAGGTGTAGCAGGTTTTGCGGCTCTGGACACATTTTGTTGGTAAGCAAAGAATAGAAATGGCTCTTTTGATCTAAAAGGTTGCAGACTCCTGACTTTAATGAACACAAATCACTCGCTGCTTTTCATACCAGACTTTAAAATAAGATCATCTTATGATGACAAGGGGACAGAGTTCACCTTGTTTTGGTCCAACATTTCAATATGCATGATCTTACGGGATACTGCAGGTTCTATTAGGTCCTAAAGTTTGCACTGAGGATGACTCTCAGCTATTACCACTTAAAGATTTAGCTCAGTATCAGTAAATTTGCCTAAGAGCCATATTTGTGCTGACCAAAATCGATTAGATGTGGCAGCCATCTTGATTTGTGTTTACCCACACAGTTAGAGTTGTAGTCGTACAGCTAATGATTACTTTCCAGGACTTTGATTAACATCAGTCCAGTGGTTCATGGGATATTTTTAAAACAAACAGGGTTGATACAAACAGTTAAAACCAAAATTTTGCGATCAACCAAAACATGCGAATTAGGTTATTAAACCACATTCTGTAATAAACGGTAAATAAACCATGTTTCTTTGCTTCTCTGTTCTTCTTCTCTGTGCAACACATTTGTTCTAAAAGGTTACAAAACAAGAGCTAAACAATGGTTGGAATGCCACTGTCCCAGTTCTGAAGTCCCAGTGACTAGACCACCCTTCATCCCTCTCTCAAATGACATGCTCCGAGAACCCCCGATTCCCCTTCCTCAGCAGTTTGGCAGGCCCCTGTCAAGTCCCATCACCGCCACATAATGTGAGATTATACGCTGGCCTCTGCAGCAGGAGGAGCCGAGGGAATCTTGAACCTGTTGGTGACATCTTTATGCCACATTAGACTGCAGCGGGGCAGAGGGTGCATCAGGAGGGCAAAGTTTTAGTGGAGAGCTTGTGTCTGAACGAGCGTAAAGAGGAAGTGAGGCGGGATAAAATAGGAAGGAGGTGTGTGCGTGTGAGGGATGAAAGTAAAACGGACACTGATGGACAAAAACAAAACGCGGCACGCAAGACACGCTGGGTGGAGAAAAAGCTGGGCCCCTCACTTCTCATTACTGCTGCCTCTTCCAACAAACATGGGGCCTCTTCTACAATAGAGAGGGCACGGAGAATCAACAAAACAAGAGTGGAAGAAGGATGCTTTGTCACCAGAAACACCCGCACCCCCAAGCCTCAGCAAGGCACAATGGTATCAACAAGTTGATGACCTTGAGGCCTTCAGGGAGTGCTCCCAGAAAAAACTGCTCTCCCCTGGGTCTGCTCCTGAGAGGCAACATGAAAAGGCGAGAGGTACAGAGCTCCCTCTCTCTGGGATGTACATTGTCTTTTCTGTTGTGGTCTGGGAGCTTGGTGATGCCGACAGAGAGAGCAGAGGTCACGGAGGCTTGTCTGCATTTAGGCAGCTTCTTTTCCAATAATGGAAATCCACAGAGGGATTTATCACAGATGTCCAGTAATGCACCGAAAATCCACAACCAGCAGGAGTGATCGTACACCGAGGGGAAACGAGGGGTGAAAAGGTGACGTGCAGGTCAAACACAAGCCTCAAAGATAATATCTTGCACCTCTTTCACATTAAACTTTAGCTCAATATCTGTAAGACTGCGCCATAGCCATTAATGTGTTGGCTAAAGCCGATTAGCTGTGACAGCCATCTTGAATCAGGTTGACTTTAGAAGTTGCAGAGTTGTAGATGTACATCCAATGATTAATTTTGGGACTTTCGTTAATATGAATACACTAGATTATGGGATAATTTGCACACAAAAAAAAAAGAACACGAGGCACCTTTTAATGGCATTGGGATAATTAAGCAAAGGGAAAGAGGGTAATATTGTGACTGTGGCCGAAAGTCATCAGATAACGTCAAACTTAAATTGACTAAGTTTTTCCTTTTTTAAATCTGTTATTTAAAGAGAGTTTTTTTGTACCGTTGGGTCTTCAGCCTGTAATAATTCTGCACTAATTTTCCATATGGCTATACTTTTTTTATTTGTTTGTGCGTCAGTGAGTATGTGTTCATGATTTTACTAAACCTGCTGTCACATGCGTTTATGCAAATACAGGAATTGTTATTACAGTATTTTAAAAGCTGGGACATTAAAAAAAAGGGTGGTGGTGGGGGGGTTGTTTTGTTTTTTCCACAAGGACAGGTATCCATCGTGTTCCAGGATAAAAAAATAAATAAAACGGTCAATCAGAAATCTGCTAGGACGTGAGCAGCTGTAGGAAAATGACGGCGTAAACATGAGCGAGAGCAGAGGACAGTCCAGGAAAGAGAAGAGTCATGAGTTCAAGTACATATGTAGTTTACAGCAAGCTGAAAAAAATGGGCTGCACTTCCTGATGATATCAACAACATGAATTACTGAGAATTTGTGGTAATTTCTGAATCCTGTCCAAACAGACCATTGCGTTTACAGAGAACATTTTGGTCGGGACGTAACTTAAATCCTTCATCATGAGAATAAAAATGCAGGTCTATAAAAACAGAGAGGCCTACTGCAGACAGAGATTATATTGGCTAGACTTTTTTACTTGTATGTGTGCAGACACCAATTGTTTACTCCCATAAACTCCTCCTGGGATACATGAGTTGTCCATGATTGTAGTCAATTTTAGACAAATTTTCACCATTTTTTTCATATAATGGAAAAATGAAGCACATATGTGAATATGCAATAAACAATAATTTAACGTACTCGCTACTTCGCAGTTCGTTTTTCTCGGACTTGCTCTATAGCGGTTTTTATTTATTTATTTTTTTACATGTACATATTAACCCCAGCCCCCACCCCCACCCACCCAAAACAAAGTGCCGCCATTTTGTAGTTTTCTTTCATTAAGCCTTCACTCTATTGCCAGTCTAAAGAACTATGTTGGGGGAGTGGTGGCGCAGAGGTTAGAAGATGGGCTTGTGATCGGAAAGTCGCAGGTTCACCTCCCGGTACCATCAACATCAAAATGTAGGTGGAAAAGGTGAAACACCCACACCTCCCTCCACCCCCATTCACCCCACTCTGGCCCCCTGAGCAAGGCCCTTAACCCCTACCATCTGCTCCCTAAAACGGGTCTCTCTTGAAAACGTGTTCTCGTGGCTCATTGAGACTACCTGGATAAATAAAGGGTAAAAAAAAGAAAAAAAAATGTTACCCAGAAGCCATCAGTTCACTTCCCAGAAGTCAACACTGCTCTCTCAACATCTGCTTTCTGCAAATGGAGGGAAAGTTTTGTAGCAAAGTCAGAAGTTCTGTAAGGACAAGCTCACAGGACAGGCAGGAAAGTCACAAATAATTCTGAAGCTGAACTCATCCTTCAAGTTGTATCTTCACCGTTGAGTAGCTGGGCTGCAGATGATCTGGACTCAGTGTGACCCAAATCCTGGGAGCTGCAGATGACAGACAGCTGCAGGGTTCAGTCAGGTTCTGGTCGCATGGTGTTGGCCCAGTCCAGAGGTGGTGGACTAAATCCTTGGCAGCAGCACGTGCACATCAAGCTGGATGGAGCAGTGGGCTCCAGTCGTGCTGTACCAGGACTTTTTTCATCTATCGGGTTGGACAGGAACCGAACCGCTGCTGTACTGCAGAGCCTGGTAAGTCAAATTTTGTAGCTCCTGTACATACAAGTACTATATGTTATTAAAACTAGTAGGTTTAAGAGTTTAGAGGACTGATTTGTGGGCTTCATTACCGCAGGATCTGCAGAAGCTAAACGAATCGGAATAAAACAGAGATGGACCGGAACCAGAGATGTTGCTGTTCTGCAGAGCTAGTAAGTAAAATTTTGTAAAATATGTTGTTAAAATGATGTTGGTTTAAGCGTTTAGAACATTCCAAGAGTGTGGGAAGAGTTTCTAAAGTCTTAATATAAAGTTCACTGACCTTGAACTTGAACTACTGTATCTCTACTTCACAGTTTTTCACTTATCGCAGGGCTTTATTGTACGGATCCCTCGCAATAAACGAGGAACTACTGTATTTCCAAATCTCCAGAATTACCCTCTTATGCCCTCTCTATAACCGAACTCCTACTCCAGCCTGGTATTTCTTATCCACAGCTTATGTTTATTTTACTTGTGCACTGATAATGTTTCCCAGGAGTTGGAGCTCAATCAGTAAAACCTCCTTTTTTGTATTCTTAGTCATAAGTTTCTGCTGTCTGAATTATTTTTATATCTTCCCTGGTAAAGTTGGCCATGAAAATCCCCCTG